CCCCACCACCTCTGGCCAGTTCTTGCATGCATAAAAAATAAATCTTTTCTTAAAAAAAGAAAAGGTCAAAAACAAATTATTCAAATCAGTAACATAAATTTTAACTCCTTCAACAAAGAAGTTTAAAAAACCATTACCAGTACTTAATAAAAAAGCATCATCTCTATTTGCTCCTTCAATTATCTGTCAAATGGAAAATAACTACTACTACTGTAATAAGGAATAATGGTTCTGAAAACTCAGTTTTAAATTGTGTTGTATCAGAATCATGGTAGAGACTCTGGAGTAAACCTCATCCAACTGTTTTCTTTGCTTGTAAAACAGATTAAACCTTTTGCAAATCTGCAAAAAAGTAAAGAAATTAAGTTGATATCCACAGTGAAACCAATGTATAAGGATGGTAAATAACAGAAGAAGTGGACCATGTAACACACCGAAAAGCACAGATCTCATAGGAAAGGGTGCATGTTGAAAACCTTACAGGCCAGAAATCTGATGAGAGACTACCTTACACAAAGGCAGAACTCATAAAAAAATTACCTTCTGAGGGCACTCCCTGGGTGTCGCAGCAGGTTAAAGCACAGCACTAAGAAGCTAAAGCCATTTCAGCATGAGTTCCATCCGCCGCCCCAGAGGTGACCACATGGCATGGCAGACCTCTCCTGACCCATCCGCTTCTCCCCTCAGCAGTGTACTTCCTCAGTCAGTTTCTGCTCCTCACTGTCTCTGGTGAATCCTCTCACCACCCCTGCACCTCTGGCCTGTACCCCAGTTCTGTATGCATAAGTAAATCAATCTTAAAAAAAAAAACTTACTGTCTGAGTAAGCTGTAAATATTCTAAAACCCATAGCAAGTCTTGTTTTGGGATAGACATACAAGCATAAAAACACATACATTAAACCTATGAGATTTCAGAGTAGATGACCAGCTAACATGGATCTTGGACGGTAATTACATAGTGAAAAGTTGGTTGTGAGGAAAAATAAGGTAGAACAAATACAAAAGCCTCTTAGAGAAACAAACCTTCCACAAAAGTTTCGCACACTAACTTCTACCAAATATTTCTTTTTCCAACAAATCACAATACATGAGTAGACACTCATCATAAACTCAAAACACAGAACAAGATATTCAAACAGTCATGTTAGAATTACTGAATATAGACTATGAATATAACAATTTTAAAGGAACAACATAGCGGTTTTTAAATGTCACAGAGCTAGTTTTTACATAGTAAGAAGAAACATACACAGAAAACCCACGGCCAATAGTGCCACTTCCTTTTCTTCACTGTAATTGTCCCAAGAACTTCAAGAGAGGCTTTATCCCAATTTTCTCTCTTCTATTCAATTTGTTCCAGAAATTTAGGTAAAACCATAAGTACAGATCCTCATCGCTTAGTAAAAATAATCACAAAAAGAGTTTGGAAAAGTTTAACAAGTCCAACAAATTTTTTATGAACAAGTTTAAGACAGATTTCTTTCAAATACCTGGCAGCTGTGATCAGTATCCAATCCATCCCAGAGGCTCATAAATTGAGCTTTCATCATAGCTGTTGCTTCATGGTCAGAACTTGAACGGTTTCGTAGAAAGGAATCTAGAAGGAAAAAGTCCTTAACCTTAGAAACTTAACAACTTACTCCCATTAGATTTTAAATCATTAAATCAAAAGCTCCCAACTTCATGAAAGAGTACAAGAGTTCAAGTACAATTTTGGCAAATTAAAACACAATTCACATGCCCCCCCCC